ATAAAATGCATCTCTGGGGCACATCCACGTTGCCCTCTCCCCAAGCTGCCAGGCATTCCCACATCCCTGCTCCCTCTCCTGCACAACGTGCATTTTTGCAGGATGGTTCAGCTTCAGCAACGCGAGTGGAGATTATCTTCCAAGCCTGGCTTTTAAAAAATCTGTTTTGCATAACAGCATCTTTTCAATCCTAAAATACAGCTTTCAGCTCTGGTCTTACAAAGAACGTGCAGAAAGAACCTTCAGGAGCCTGCAAGTGGGAGCACTGCTGATGTGGCTTGATTCAGTTGCTCTAAAGGAGGGAAGAATTCAGGTATACATCTATATTATGGATTTTGGAGCACCTTTCTAAGGAGTCCAGCACCTGATTCAGATTCCACTCCAGTAATCTGTCTAAAAACTGGATATTATCATGCACAGCCTGTCCACCGACTCCACACAGTGAAGGACACGCTGAGAGCAGGAGCAAGAAGCTGCCTGAGCTGTGGAGCTCTCCCAACTCCAAGGGGATGGACTGGCTCCAGTTTGGAAACAATATTTTAAAGAGCAGCTTCTCCTGAGGGAGGGGCAGGTGCGGGGACACAGCAGAGCACAGCCCAGTTTGGGGGAGGGGGACTCTTGATGGTTTGTAACTCTGCAAAATGGATTGGGAAAAAGGGACCTTAACTATCTACAGCCTGGAAGATTTAAAGCAATAAACACTAGGAGATGAGATGCAGGACTGGGTGGGACAGGCAGGGCAGGGCAAGGGGCCCCCCAAGCTGTTACTTTTTCTGGTGCGAGGTCGTGCGGCGGGTGCAGAAGACGGCGACGATCACCACGATCACGATGGTGATCACCCCCACGGACACGATGATCACCAGCAGCATGTTGCTGTCCAGGGGAGAGGTGGGACTTCCATGGGGACTGTTACTGCCTGTGAGGGTTCGAGATGGGAGAAAGGGGTTATTTATTCCATAGAAAAAGCAAGGAATGCAAACCAAAGGTGTCTGGCATCCCGCAGATGAGCAGGATGAGGTGGTTGCTCTGCTTGCATCTCTGGGAAATGCTTCCTTTTCTGTCATTTGCCATCTGTGTTTCTGTACAATTGTTGATCTATAAGAGGATTTATAGATCTATTCCCAACTAGGTCTATCCAACCTCAAGTTCAGCCGACAAACAGTTACCATATAAAAATTCAACATTTAGTCTAAGGAGTTAGTCTGGACCTTGCTAAAACTGCCTTACCACACACAGCCCCTTGGAGCCAGAACCACTGCACTCAGTAAGAGAATCCTACAGGGATCACTTTGCCCTGAAAGAATTATTTTACCAAATAGTGCTTGGCGTTACCTCAGGGCAAGGCATCCCCAGCACTAACCAGGGGAAGGAGGAAGAGGAGGCTTTTCCTTCCTAATATGTTCCTACTGAAATAATTGTCCACTTGTGCAGCAGCCCTTTAAAACTCCACTGGGAAGCAGATCTGCTCATGGGAACACCAGCAGAGCTCTGCCAGACGCTCCAGGCAGGAGCACCACGGCAGGGGTTACAGGACTTACTGAGTGGGAACGACCATGGAGAAAAGTTATGGAACTGATGCCAGGAGTGTTTTCTGGGTGGAAGACCAAAGTGAAATGAAACACCTGGAAATGGAGAAGCTTTGCAGCAACACTCACCTCCAAGAGGGGGTTTGTAGTCGGGTCCCAAGTCCACTGGGCGACTTCCCTTCCCTGCAGATCCTGAGGCTGAAAAGGCCGGATATGTTGGAAAGTTACACACACACAACTTTAGCACCTCCAAGTTTCTTTTAGAACTTCTCTGTGCCCCCAAGGGCAGTTTCTCCCCTCCTTTTCTCTCCCCACAACATGATTTGGCTTTGCTCAGCCCCTGCACTTCTCCAAGAAAAGAAACTTCTCCAGGAGAACTCATCAATTATTTCCTGAGTTATTATTTTCCCAACTCAGCTCAGGAACCTCTACTAATAGTCATTTTAAAAATGATAATAAAAATCATTTGCAGCAATTCACAGGTATGTGTTGAGGCTAAGGGCTCTGCCACACTTGTACTGACAGTTAATCATCCTGAACCTGGAATTATCCAGGTTTCCTTTCCACACACCCAGTTACAGCCAGTGTGGGAGAGTGGCAGTAAGTGGAGGATCCAAAGCACAGGAAATGTAATATTAAGGCCCAGCCTATCCACAAATCTCCACTTTCAACCCCATTCTCTTCTGCTCACAAGTGATAACGAAGCCTCACGAAACTGTTTTTGGTGAAACCTGAGGAATCCAATTCATTAGTTACATCCAAACCCTGGTTCTTTCCCTCTCTGCTTCCATAAAAATGCACTTCATGCAGACATTGGTGAGAAGATCACTGCAGGAGGGGAAACATTCAGCAAGGTGCAAAGAACGACATTCCTCTGGTTGTAGGAATCCAGAGTATTTTGCACATTTTTACAATGTTTTACCAAAAAAAAAACCCCAAGAAACTAACCAAGAAGTCAGGCAATTTGGCAGTTTCCCAATCAGGAGAAGGATTTTTTCAGTTAAAAATCCCCTTTAATCAAGAAGTAATAAGTGTTAAAGGATGTGTAACAAATGGAAACTGTGAACCTCAAGTCGAAGTCTGTAAATTAGTCACTGAAATCAAGACAAATGGCAAAACCAGCCAAAGGGAGCAGCAGGAACTCTGATTAAACCTGGGCAGGGTAATAAGGAGGAATGTTCTGTGTGTACAGCAGGAGCTCCAGTCTATAATGATGGAAATGATGTATTGCAGGACAAATGTGCCATGAAAAAGACACATTGCAGCTGGCAGGGCAGAGAGGACCCTGCACCCAGGGCTCTCCTTTGGCAGCACTGCCCTGACAATCCTGCAGCAGCAAGGAGAGGATTTTACAGCACGTTAAACAGCTTGTGTTTGACAGATTTGTGTCTGGGTGGCCACGAGACCTGCTCTGAGAAAATGGGGAAAACCCCTAAATGAATCCTCTGGATCCCTGAACCCAGCACTGAGGAGCTGCTGGATCTTCCACCCAGAGAAGCTGCAGGAGAAGGGTGAATAAAAATAACCAGCAGTGTTTTAGAAGGACAATTAGACACCCTGAGCATTTCCAGTGCAGCAGTTGGAGCCTTAACACAGGTGAGGCCATGGAAAAGGAGGTGGGATAGGAGATGGTTCCTGCTTTATGGAAAACAGGTATTTTCAAAAAACTAAATGTCAGACTATAAACATGGTTGGTAACAGTAACTATGCAGATATATAATGACATATATAAAATATCCTGCATTTAGGCTTCCCAAAAACATTTCACTGTGTCCTGTACAATCCTTTGTTAAAACAGCACCATAAAAAAGCAACATGGTACCCATTAACAGGATGAACTGCACATTAACTGATAAGAGTAAGAATTAGAATTGAAAAATCATTATTCATGAGGAATATTTCTAATGAGTTCTGCAAAGACCTGTGCTTGGCCAAGGGCAGTTCAATATCCTTCATAACACGAGGAAAGAGAAGGAAAATAATGCCCCTGAGTTTAACAGGTGACACAAAATCAGGGAACGGGGAAGAAGAGAGAGGATGTACAGTGCCACCTGCACAGGATCCTCCCAGGGACACCCTGAGTGATTTAGGATGAAATTTAGGCACCCAACCAAGATGCTTTTCAGTATCCAATTCCTAAAACCATGGATGAACAGCTTAAACCTCCAGGGAGCCCATCTCTTATGCAGTACAACCTATTCTAAGGAACAGTTTAGGACAGCATTTACTTGGGATTGGGTTTTATTCAGCTTGTGAGTCTCCATGGCACCCATCAGGTACCTGCAGCCACACAATGTATTTTAACTGTGTGTGACTTCAGGATGGGTTTCCAAGGATCACACACGTTAATCTTTGCTTCTGTACTAGGCCAGTGCAACTCCCTGAGATCTGACAGCAACTGTCACTAAGTCTGACACGAGCTCTGTGCTACCAAACTGTGTGGAAAACCAGCATAATGTGCTTAGTACAGAAGAAAAACATTAGAGCAGGGAAGGGAAAAAAAAGAACCATTAGAGCCAGAGGATCAACCCCTTGCAGTTTGGGTCCTTCCCAGTCCTGAGTAACTTGCTGGCTCTTTCCTGAGAGTCCCAGTTCAGTGATGCTGTCACAGAGCAGCTCTACAGCTCCTTTCCTGCACTTCCTCTGCCTTCTCCTTTCCTGCATTTCAGCTGCTGCCATGATTTATAATCTCTGAGCGTTCCAATAGGAATTCTGAAACAAAACTCTCCTGGCTTTTATGATTTACAAACAATGGGATAAGAATTAACCAAACTGTTACTAGAAGAACATGTTACTTCAGGATGGATGGAAGATGTAGTTCTCTGCTGAAATAGGGTTAGAACAGGGCAGAACAGAAAACAGCAACTTTTCCCTAAAACCTTCCCCAGTTCCCTCCCACTGCACCTGGGCACAGACAGTGTCAGGGAGAGCCCAGATCCCAGCTCCCACCTCTGGGACAGGGGCTGCATGTGAATCTCCTCCCTAACTCCCTCCTATCAGCAGTATTTGCTGCACAGGGGTAAAAGCACATTCAATAAATTACTGCTCAGTAACAAGTTGCAGAGCCAAGTCCAACCCTCTCAGCCCCTTTAGGATCTCTCTAATTGCAAGTCTAAGCTGTTTGCCAATGGTCTTTTAAACTCATCCCTTCAGAGTAATTCTTCCCTTTTTATTGGGCTTGTAGGTTATTTGGAAGAAAGCAAGAACAGCCCTGGGAGATTCACCTTATAATTCCATGTAGGAAGCCTCGAAGCTCCCATTTTCCAAGCAAACATTTGAAAGCCTTAAGGCTTTCAGGAGCCAGTGCCGGGTTCCTCGGGGGAGCCTGGACTCCAAAGGAGCTGACAGACAGAATCCTGCACAGAGCTTTCCAGAAGGAGCATCCTTGCCTTTCTAAGACAGCACTGCTGATGTGGAGCTCACAAACAGCACTGGTGCTGATCAAAGTCAGTTTGATCTCCACCCCCTCCTGCAGCAACAGGCAGGGGCTGGATGGCCCATCCCTGCAGGAGGATCCTTCATGGGACCCCTGACTACAGAGATCATTTTACATTCCCAACACCAGACCACAGACAGGACTCCCACTTCTTCCACTATTAAAACCACAACAGGAACTCGCCCATTTCCAGTCAGAGCAGCAGATAATTGTTTCATTTAGAAAATGCAACAGCATATGGACAGCAAAACCAGGATGGGTGAAGGATGGAGTGAAGAGAAATGCTGGCTGTTCATTTACCTTGGTCATTGGGCATTTTATCTGAGGACTCAGCTATGGGGCAAGCACAGGGAGGAAAAAAACAAGAGAGATCACAAGGCTTGAAGAGTGAGACAGAATTTCAAGTTTCACACAGCACAGGCAGACTGGCTACAGCTCATTTCTGACCACCAATACTCACGTGGAGGTGTCCAGGGCCGGGTTGGACAGGGCCTGGAGAAGCCTGGACTAATGGAAGGTGTCCCTGCCCATGGCAGGGGGTGGGACTGGATGATCATTAAGGTTCTTTCCGTCCCGGTTCTATGACATGTTTCCATAATAATAAACTCTTAACTTTTTCTTTCTCACCCCTGAGTACTTTTCTCAAGCTGTCTCACATTTGTACTATTTATCACCTGCCCACCACCATCAGTTCTTGACTCAGGAGCCTGTTGTGTCCCATGAGTTGTCCCTGCACGCCCCCAGCCCCAGTGAGCAGAGGTGACTCAGTCCTGGAGTGTTACTGCACCAAACCCGGGTTTCTCATAACTGAGGACCCAAGAGCTGTCACAGCACCATTAACCAAAGAGCTGAGCACCACCTGCACAGGGGTTAACGAGCAAGCCAACCGGGAATTCTGCTCCAGCCCAACTCCAGCCTGTTCCAGGGGGAGCACAGATTGCTCGCTCCTGGTGCCCTGGAGCTGTCGGGATGCAGGTGCCACTTTACCTTTGGGGGTTCTGAACTGCACGGCCTCAGACATGGGCCCCATTCCCTTGGAGTTGCGGGCCTGGATTTTGAAGTAATAGGGCGTGTCCAGGGTGAGCTCCTGGATCTGGTGGGTCAGCCTGTTCCCCACCACCGGCTCGATGACCCAGTCGTGGATCTCGGCGTTGACGTCCGTGCTGTAGTAGATGATGTATCCTGTGCCAGGGAAGAGCAGGAGAGTCACCAGATCCCACAGGAAATGAGGGTTAGGGGGTTTCTAAGGGTGTTCTCACTTTTCCCAGGACTAAGAAGGCATCCAGACATCAGCCACCCTTCCCATCTGTTACATGGTGAGGGAAAAAAGCCCTTTAAAATATCGAGATTATTTCTGACCACTGTTCATTGCACATGGGGAAACTGCTCATTACCTGCTCTTTACCTGTTTATATGTAATATAAGATAATGCTGTTGTTATCAAAACATCCTCAAAGTATTACTATTATAATACTAATACACTATTATAATACATTATTTAAACAATGTTCAAACCACAAAACATTCTCATGCACAGCTCAGCAACATGTGGTCAGTAGTTTTTAGTTATTTTATTTTCAGTGTATTAACAAAGTGTAAATACACAAAACAGTGTTTTCCAGTGTGTTAGCAAAGATGACAGTAATCTGAAGAGAACTGAGGTTGTCCAGGAAAAAAAGGTAAGGGAGCAATTTATGTTCTGTTATTGAAGGGCACTGCAATTGTAAAAATCAACATTAAGTAAAAGCTTTATAACTTCTTTTTATGCACAGCACACAGAGCCTCAGCATAAATTATATACTTGAACCAATATATGTGTGTGTGCATATATATATGACTTATTATTTATATTGCCTATATGCAATATCACAATGATATAATATAAATATTATAAATTATAATATATATTTTGGTGCATATATTTATATATTATTATTAATAGTCTTTTATATTATTTATATGGATTGTTTAGTATTTTATAATATCTATTATACATATATACACTTAATTTACATATATATATATGCAGTGACAGTTCCAAGCACTGTAGTGGCACAAGCAGTGACTTAACTTATGACTGTTCTAATTACTCAGCAGATTTAACGATGCACATCAGGAACCCAGCCTGGCACAGCTCAGTATTCCAAACCCATCCCAAGCACATCCCAGGGAGATGGGAGCTGCAAGGCCAGTATTCCACAGACAGGCTGCCCAGGGCATGGAATGACATCATCCCTCGGTTTTTATGGCACTACTCAATGCACAGAGTTAATGACTCATTAGTTAATGAGTCATTAGTGGAGCCTGGAGCTGTCCCTCTGCTTGGGGATGTTCCCACCAGAGGGCACTCGACCCCCACATCCCAAAAACTGCCTCATTCCCTGCAAAAGGGAAGCTCATGTTTGGTGCACTTGGACTTACCACTGAATTACCATTTTATTCAATGTTTTAACCTGCTGCTTATGCACAAATATGGACGTTTTGGTTCATCCTGTGTGGGTAACTAAGGTTGCCCTTCAGAGCAGACACTGCACGGGCATTTTTCCCTGGGAAAAGGTAACTGCTGATTCTTCCTCTCACCCTCAGCGTGAGATATTTGTGCCTGCCCTACCTGAAGGCCCTCACTGGCCACCACCAGCCAAGTCCTTTCACCTGCACTTCATATAAAGGCTCTTGTTTCTCCACTCAAACCTTCCTTCCCACAAAGAGGAAACATCTTGCTGCCTTTTCCCAGGGATCCAGTTCAGCTCAGTCTCCTGTCTGGAACTGGGCTCCAGTCCTGCCCAGTCAGGTGATCCTGCACCGTGGTCAATTCTGAGCACAAACCCAAAACCATATACTGCAAACTACATGCCATTAAAATCTGATTTAAGCTTAAAACCTGGCATAAAAACAAAGAAAAACGGAAGTGAATGATTTCAGAAAGCCCTTTGAAATGGGAATCCAAACTGAAATTACAGACAGGAATCAGGAGTTATCACTTTCTGTACAATGATTTATCCTGCGTGGCAGTGATGCACTTAAAGGCAAATAACAGTTTACTCCTAATGGTTCTGTCAGGGGACTAATAAACTGCCTTTAAGTCTGCTCTGTGACACAAAAATGCCACAAGGATGACAAAGAGCACTGGGATGGCTTCTCCTAAATAAACCACTGATGGGCCAGAGGCATTATGGACCATTTCTGGAGGCCTGCTATTAGAACAGCACAATCTGAGGAAGGCAAAGGTTATGGAGATATTTAAACTTCCAATTATATTTCTGGTTCCACTCCAATTTCCCACTGCAGTTAGTTTAGATCTTAATATATTTTTATGAGGTACGAAAGTAAATAATTAATCTGAGCCGCTACAGAGAGGGACAGAGCAGAGAGGGAGCTCTGGGCAGCCCTGGGCTGAAGGCAGGAGAGGTGACAGGGTCACACAGCCCCCCCCGGGCTGCCCCCTGCCCCTGCCCACCTGTGATCTTGCCGTTGGCCTCCGAGGGGGGCTGCCAGTTCACGATGATGGTGCGGGGTTTGCCCTCCTTGCTCACCACGGTCACGTCCTTGGGAGGGGAGGTGGGCACTGCAAACACACAGAACCAGGCTGTCAGTCCCGCTGGGTACAAACAACCCCCTCAGCACCCTGGGGTTGTGTGTTTTATAGGAATGCACTTTGTTTTGGTTTGTTCTGTCGGGGTCCCCTGGAGTGCAGCACCTCCTTCCCAGATGGAGCTCCCCCTTCCCAAGGCACTGCTGTCACCACATGCTGTGACTCGGACTGAGTGAGCCCAGGTGTCCCCAAACACATGGATCTCTGGACAACTGGGGTCACTGACTTCTCACCTGAATGTCTTCAGCCATCAGAACAATCATACAAACTTGTGAAAGAAATACATTTTATATAGGTAGGCACGTGAAATATCTCCCTGTTTTCAGGTTTATGGGACTGAGACCCAGAGGTTGTGGACTCCCCATTCCTGGAAGTGTCCAAGGCCAGGCTGGACAGGGCGTGGAGCAACCTAGTTTAGTGGGAGGTGTTCCTGGCCAGGGCAGGGGATGGAACTGGATGGGCTTTAAGGCCCCTTCCAACACAACCCCTTTTGAGATTCTATAATTCCAGAAATGCCAACTTACTACTTAAATCCAAATCAGCAAAGTCAATTCACCAGCGATTTCAAATCTGCATTGCTGACTGACTTTACTGAAGGATTATTTGTGATTTGGAAGGAAATCTGCACCACAGAAGCATTTGAAAGGCATTTGCTGAGCACAACTTGGGTTAACTTGGATATTGGATATACTAATACAATAATAGTAGCCCTGAGTGCCTGCAGTGCTTCCTGCATTTCAAGAGCTTTATTTAAGTTACCAATTAGAAATTCATCCCTCCATCCTCTGAGATGGACCCCTGGTATCTCTGTGTGAGGAACAGGTGGGAACCAGGACAGCCAAAACCCAAAAGTTACTGTAAATATTACCCCAAATACATAAAAATAAGATTCAGAGGACAAGAAATGAGGACTTTCCCATAGGAAATCACTAACACTGGGACCAGGATCCCATATTTTCCTTCTTCATTAGTTGAGGAGCAAGTCCTACACAATGCTGCCTACTCAGGATATTCCAAAATAATGAGCTCAGGAATTTGGCCAGTAATACAAATCACAAGATCTTTTATGAGAAAATATATTTAGCCTTTTTTTATTATTATTATTTTTCTTAGTTCCCAAGTTTTTAGGTCACATCTGCAAATATTCTTTACAACCACTTCAACTTGAGATTTCCTATTTAAATGCAACGAGACCTCCTGCATCACTGCTCATGTGCTTTCCGAGGTTCAAATTCCCTATAAAGATCTTTATCTCTGCGAATTTTATAGTCCCTGCCCTTGGTGTGGAGTTGTGGGTGAGGACTGTACATGTGTCAGCAAAAAGAGCTGTTTTATAGAGTGCTTTAACCTGGGAATAGTCACTGGGATGGGAAAGGAGCCTCAGCCCAGAGCTGGTCCCACATCATGGAATCCCTTCCAAACACCACAACACTGTTTTCAAAAGCAACTGAAGCTCACTAATGGCTGATGAGACTTCAGAGTAAGTTCAGAGATTTCAGATTTTATGCAGGTTTTGCTTTTTCTCATGCCTTGTTACAGAACATTTGGAAGCTCTCGCTAATTCTTTGCACGCTTGATTTTTTGGCTGTATTTTAATTTAGCATAGGAACTCCAGGCTCATTTGGATGGGCTTTTTGTCCTTTACAGTTCATCTAAAGAGAAACCTAAGCATAACAAGCAGTAAATTTAATTGCACAAAGTTCATTTAACACTGCAGGATAGAAAGAGCTAATGAGGGGCAGGTCAGGGGAGAGGGTCTGGCCCTCACAGTTACTCCGTGGGCCCAAGGTTTTCCTTGGCAGCTACAAACCCTTTTCTGTTCTGAGCGGGAATTTAGGGCTCATTTGGATGTCTTAATTCCTACTGGGATTTTTTTGTCTTCATTTGCCTCATGCCCCTCCTCACTCTGTCACATAATTATCATCACACAGCACATTTTAATTATTATTTGCTGAAGTATTTTCTCTGTATTTGCTATTAACGTGCTCTTTCTGAGACATTTCAAGCACACACTTTATTCTCTCCTGCCCATGAACTGTGGTACATTATTCATCACTTCTCTGTAATTTGATGTAAATTCTCCTGAACGCAATCATCCCTTGGAATTTTGAAGTATGTTGTTGTTTTTTTAATCAGAATTTCTGACTAAACTACTCAGAAGAACATTCCCTCCCGACCCCCCTGCCACCACCACCAAGTATCATCATCGGAATCATTTACAAAACAAAGCTGGCAGAGCTGGCCTGATTTCTTTCTGCTCAGCCCTCCCAGAAGCCCAGGGGTACCTAGTTCGAAGGTGGTGCCATGTGCTGTCATGCTCCAGGTGCTGGATCTGCGCCCCTTGGTCACCATCACCGAGAACTCGTACAGGGTGTTGGGCTTCAGCCCCGTCACCAAATAGCTCAGGGTGGTGGCATTGGCAGTCTGAAAGAAAGGCAGGTGTCAGCAAGGGCTGAGCCATCAGTCACAGCTCTCAGGTGTCTCCACCATTTCCATAACCACAGTCATTAATCCCGGGAGGTTTCTTCTCTCTCATGCAAATTCATCCATCAAGGATTAACATGCAGTTGTTTTACCCTCAACTAGAGATCCTCTCTGCAATCAGCACGAGATTTAATAGCAGTCAATTATAAATTAAGAAAGGCAATACAAGGTCCAGGGCCCACTTGTTATGCAGTGGCTAAATCATTGTTTACCTGGGGGGTTAATTTACAGCATTTCATTAACTGGTCTGGCTGGGGAAAACAACAAGCCCAGCTAATAACAATCCTGATTGAAACCTGGAGCTGCCTCTCAAATTCCTGCACAATTATATTCTTAAATATAATAAACAATCAACTAAAGATACACTAGTAAGACTGAAAGAGAATGAAGCTTTACTAATACATAGACTTCTTCCAGAACAAAATGGTTATCTAGGATCACACACAAAAAGAACAGGTTTATCGAACAGAAATTTTAGAATTTCTAAATAAGAATTTCTATATAGAATTTCTATTATAGAAGATTTTACTAATTCTTTTGGACACTTGACTTTTTGGCTGTATTTTAAAAAGAACTCCAGGCTCATTTGGATGCGGTTTTTGTCCTTTACAGTTCATCCACAGGGAAACCTAAGCATTATAAGCAGTGAATTTAATTGCACAAAGTTCATTTAACACTGCAGGTTGTTATATATAAATAGTGGAATTTGTAACTCAGCCCTTTTTAAATATCTGGTATTTGCTATACATGGCTTGAACATCAACAGAATGTACTGGAGGCTGTGGGAAGAAAAAGGAAATTGCATTTACAGTTATGGATATTCCTTACCTTGACCTACAATGATCTAAACATGGAGTTAAAGAGTTGTTTCAGTCTTGGACAGGGCCAACAACTGGGTACAGCCACTGCCTCCAGAAACAACATTTCCAGCTAATTAATTTTCAAGGTAAAGGCACATTTTGTGAGTAACACAGTCCAAATTCTGCAAGGAAAACCCTGATTTGTCAAGTATCAGGGAGAGCCTTTTTATCCTACCCTGGGTTGAAGTCCAGGAATTGTGATCCGAGGGATGACTGTGCTTTGTGCCAAGTATTCTGCTCGTTCACCAACATCACAGGGGTGGCCAGTCATCAAGGACTCATATAATGAATTCAAATTAAATCCTCTATTAACCTTAAACCTTCACTTGGTACCCCCTCAGTGTAGCTTTGGAGTAAGTGGATTGTGGCTGAGTGGTTGTGACAAAGCTGGACCAGGCACAGCTCCCTGGGAAAGGAGGGAGCTTTGGGTTGGGGCAGCGAGGGAATGACAAGTCCAAAGGAGAGCAAGGCAGCTCTTGCATTCTGAGCTGCCTTACCCCTGAAATGCACACCAGCTCTTTGTCTCTGGAATGCCTGTGGGAATTCCAACAGCACTGGAACATTCCCTGGTTTATAGTTCTGGGTCTATCCTGGCTGCAGCCGGGCTCCTGTCACAGGTAAAGTCCTGGTTTTCCCTATGGCTCTGAATTCTGGAATCTTCTAGTCCCCCTGCACATCCCACTGGATGTAAATGACACATCAAACTTCTCAGCTTTCTCCATTTTTTAATACCACTCCCTGTTTTTAGGATCCCAGCCTATCCCACAGTACCAAACCCCACTCACTCTCCACAAATAGTACCCTGAACAATTTATTTCCCTAAAAGATCCAAGATAAGGTTTAGTATTTTTGGTTCTGCTTAAGAGGTGCTTGTTGGATCCCAGGGAGCTGCCGGACAACCCCGGTCCCCAACACAGGCTCTTTGGAAAACTCTGATCCACATCAGGGCAGCAACACAGTTCAAAGCACAGTGGAGCCTTTTAGGAACTGTATCCCTTCTGTTCCTGTGTTTACAGGCTCCAGATTGACACAACCTCTGAACAAACAGAGGAAAAAAAAAAGGCTCCTTAAGGTGGAACCACTTGTGCTGGGAGCACAGAGCCCCTTCAGCAGCAGTTTGGGAGTGCCAGTGAGAAACAGGGGGCAAAGGGAGCAAATCCAATTTATGGATGAGAGGGATGGATGAAACCACAGAGTGCTGAACAGACGCAGCTCTGGATCCTGAAGAACAGAGTTTCTGTGCCCGAGGCTGAGGAACAGTCATGGGATGTGGATTCTCCAAATGTCCCGGGTGCCACAGGATTAGAGCAAAGACCCTCAACTTCTGTCCTTTCAGGCAAATGCCTTCTACCATGACTGATTCTGAACTATAATCCATCATTACATATTGGTTTTGCTCCACATTAAACTTGTTACCCACTGGCCACCAGCACCAGGGATGGTGGGAATAGTTCATTTACCACTGAGGGTGGGGTTTTTTTAAGCAATCAACTAAAGAAACTGTAGCTTTATTTAAATCACTCCTGAGACATCCTCTGCACATGACTCAGGAATGTGGGCTTGCCTTTAGAGGAGGAATACACTTATAATAATATCTTTTCATTTCAATAAAAAAAAATCTGGACTATAACAAGATGGCTCTTCAGGAACATAAAGGGGACTCCACTGGCTGGGTATTTTAACAACCAGTTCCTCTGAGTCTCATTGCAAATATGAAATTTGCAGTCAGCTCCTTTGAGGCCTCCAGATAACCCTGGAAATTAATAAAAAAATCCAACCAACCAACTAAATGAACAGAAACCCCAAATCCAGTCTCCAAATCAAAACAGATGAAAATGGAGGAAGGCAGGGACATGATAAAGTTACTGTTGTGTATTTTGCATCCATTTGTTTCCCAAAGGAAAGGTTCAACTCAGCATGAACAGAAAAGGTTGTAAAAGGAACTGAGAACCACAAGAGGCAATCTTTTCCCTGCATGACTCACCCCCAAATTCAGGTTCTCTGCTGGCTGGGGGAAGAGACAGAGAGTCGGTAACACAGACCTTCCAAGTGTCCAACTGTCCCTGTGTCCCTGGCTCCGGAGCAGAACACCCTTCTGGCAGCGCTCTTCCATCCGCTCCCACAGCACCGCAGCTCCAGCGCTCTCACCCACAGGACACCAAACCACCCTGGAACAATCCTGCCCCTCCTGGCACAGCTCTGCAGGGTGTTCTTACCCTCAGCTGTCCCCTCACCCTGGCTGGACACACAGAATCCTCGTCCCTGGCCCCTGGAGCTGCCAGGCCCAGTACCTTGTACTTGGTGTTGGCCGGGATGTTGGTTTTCCAGCGCACTGTGTAGTACCGAGCGTCCGTGATCTTCTGGTTCTTGGGCAGAGAGTTGTCTGCCCACGTGATCCGGATGGTGTCGTGGCTCAGGATGGAAGCCTGAACTCCCACCGGGGGCATCATGGGAGACGGGTCTGGCACTGGAGTGTATGGAGCATTAATAACAAACAAATCAACCTCGGAAGTGTCTGGGGAATCGATGGGCAAAGAGTCGGGGATTACAATTAAAAGGGGAGGAGGTGGCATTTTAATGTAAACCAAAACAAAAAAGGGGAAATGCAGGGTAGTGCAATGAGATGGAGGGTGAGGAATGGAGAAAAAGAGAGAAAAGCCAGAGTTAATAGGTGACATCAGACTGGTCAATAACATCACTCTTGCATCTCTTCCCTTGTATTAACAGTAAGACAACACAGACATGCTGGTATAATAATTAATGGTATTAGTGTGCAGCGCCCTCAACCACAGCCTGAGAACCCCAAACACACAGTCATTTTAACTTCATTTTCCTCAGAACATCTACTGAGTCCTCTTCCAGAAAACAATGAGAACAGAGAAGCTGGACTCCTCCTGGATGGGGAAATGTCACTTCACACCCAGGGAGCTCCCAGCAGCTTTTAAAGCCTGTTATGGGCATCGAGTCCCAAGTATCAGACAAGTTTACAGTAACTGTGAAACTGCAATTCGTGTCCTCTAGAAAATCTTTAAGGATTTTAGTCCTGCTCTCCAGGACTAAACCAAAGTGCTGCACCTACAGCAAACCCCTTGGTGGTGCCACCAGGGAGCCCTCACATGGCAACACCTCACCCGTAAACAATCTCCTCTGCTTAAACGCTTTCAAAATTAAAACTTCCAACAACTTTTTGGTGTAAGTAGCAGCAGAGTGAGACTTAGATAGTAACCACACATCGTATTCAAAAACTCAGTGTAGAACACCAGAAAGCTGTATTTGCCCCTAAACCCCAAAACAAGGGGCTGTGCCTTTAGAACGGCACCCCCAGGCTCTGGGCCCACATAATGTTAATGCTGGGAACAAGAACATCTATCAGCAGCTGACAGGTAAGTTCTGTAATTTCCAAACGACCCCGGTTTCAGGTGGTTTAACGTGGAACGTGTGAGGCAATCCCTGAGCAGTGAGGGCAGCCAGTTAAAGGGGTTGGGAGCACTGGGTGGCACTGACAAACAGACTCTTCCACCTCACACCATCACACTGCAGCAGCTGCGCAGGACTAGGAAGAGCCCCTGTTCCTTACCAGAGTGGGGCCGGGTCACGGCGCTCTCGTACAGAGGGATCCCTTCCCCCACGTTGTTAAAGGCTTTCAGGGTGATCACATAGTGGGAGCTCGGGTCTAGAGGGGAAAAAAAGAGATTAGAATATCGAATGAATCCTATTTTCTGCTTCTCCATACCCTCTTTGTTCAGTATTTCAATTTTTGACTGAAATAATATATGAAATAAGTTAATTTGAACGGAAAGTCTCCGTACAGACCTTCTGTTTGTGTTCCCAGAATCCCAGACTGGTCTGGGTCAGAAGGGACCTTAAAGTTCCTCTCGTTCCCCTGCCACGGGCAGGGACACAACAGCTCTCATCAGTGGGAGTCTCTAGTCACAGCAAACCTCCCTTAAGTAACAGCCAGAAGAGCAGTGAGGAAAAACAATTTAAAATGAACATTTTACGCTGCTCTACTACAAAATGACTCAAACCTCCGATTTTATGGGATTTCTCAATATTAATATTTCTTTGGCTTTCAGGCTATTTTACCCACCACAGAGAATTCTGTGGAGGGGTGAATCTATTTTCCTTTTAAAGTAGCTGCCAGTGGATCTTGGTGACATTTTAGCTTCTTTCTTTGCCTGAAGCCACCCTTTCTGCAGCCCCAGCTGGAGAACGAGGGGTCTCAGCATGGAAGGGGTTGTGACAAGGGCTGCAGGAGGTGAGAGGGGCAGGGCTGGGGATCCCCCTGGCTCACCCAGGTTCTCGATGGTGTAGTATCTCTGTTTGTAGTCCACCTTGATGGTCTGGGCGTGGGGGGAGCCGATGCCGTAGCCGATGGCGTAGCCCCTCACCACCACGTTCTGGTTCTCCGGGGGGGTCCAGCTCACCACGATGCTGGTGACCAGGGGACGGACGTGCAGGGAGCTTGGAACCTCAGGAACACGAGTTTCTGTCGAGGGAAAACGATGGATCTCAAGGCTTTCTCTCCAATAAAGGTAATTCCATGAAGAACATGGGGTAGGGGAGGCCAAATGAAGCACTTCTGCTCTGTGTGCAATGAGCACATTCCAACGGGAAGAGCTTTGGTGTCCAAGGGAGAGCAAAGAGTTCCAAGAAACAGAGCTCTGGATACTGTTGTATTTTAATAAATCTTCTCTTCAAAAGAAAGGGTGTTTGTACTGAAGAAAGTATCACATCTGCTCAGGGCAGACTTTCTGAATGGTTGTGCATCTTGTTACCAATTTTTCCAAATACGGATTAGATTTATCCCATCCTTCCCCTCCACAAAGTAATCTACTTCCAATTCCATCATATTCCTTACTTGTGGGCATTAAAGTAATTATACTAAAAATCCCGACAAGGAAAGGAAAGTTCCTGAGCCTGCTGTAGCATTAAATAGGATATTCCAAAGCTCTGAGATTGCACCCTGCATTTCTCCTACACTTGTCGCTGCCCAAATCCCTGGTTTCACATAATTCACAAAATACAAGCAGAAACTACACAGCCAAACTAAAAGATCAAAAAGCAGAGAGTTCATATCAAATGTTCAAACCCTACCCCCAAAAATCAACACTAATGTCTTCCCAACCTTCGGAGAGATGAAATGTGGGTCCTTGAAACCAGGACTTCCACAACATGCCACTGTAAGACTCTCATGTTTTTACTGGAAGGTTTTTTCCCTACTGTTGATTCGAACCTAAAAGCAACCTCACAAAAGTTCCTACAGTGTCCACTTTGGTTTAACTCCTCAGAGATGAAATAAGACTTCTGTCATCCCACCAGAGCCGCTGTGTGCCCACGGATTATAAACAGTTCCGTGCAATAGCAGACTGAGCTCCCCACTCCAAAATAAAAACAAGGACTTCTGCTTCCTGCAGGGATTTCATTTTAATGAAACATGCTGCATTTCTCTAAAACCATTTAATAAAGCACCACAATAGGATTATTTGGATCATAATACAGCACTGCCCTGTGGGCCGGGGTGGGTTTCTGGTCTCCAGCTGACACAGCCCATCAATTTTAAAGTTCACAACTATTAAACACAGCAAAGCTCTAACTGCAGCCTGTGAGGTGACATTTTTAACTGCACAGAAGTTGGTGCACAGGGGGTAAACTCTGTACAGAAGTTTAACACCTCCTGCTCTGCACTCCTGGGGCACCTGCACCAACACAGGACTGTCACACTCCAGCTCCCCTGTACCTTGAGGAGACTGTCAGGTGAATTATTTTCTATTTAAATTCAAAAAGCAGCCATGGAATGAAAAGAAATTATGCCTTCCCTGCCTACTGAACCTGAGAAATGCAAGATTAGCTGTAAATACATTTGCATGGTGTTAAAATTATCCACATGAGCTTCCTAGAGAAAGAAACCCAAAAATACACATCATCTCCCCAATGTGCACATACAGAAAGTTCTCACACGTGTACACAGAATGATCTGAACATCAGGTTACCTTGTCTTAACTGAATTTTCATTACTTTATTCATTGGAAAGAATATGCAGAAAGAAATTCAGATTTCCAGCAAGGACTGCAGCATTCCAAATTTAAATGACAAAGTCAACAGAGAAGGAAAAGGTTCCTTTCTTCTCCCTCCTTCTGCCCTATTTAAATTTAAATTTAATCCTGATGCTATCCTCTGGCAAAGTATTGTTAACTCTAATTCAGGGATCTTTTCATTACCTCCTGAAGTGCCTATTTACAGAGCTCTGCTCCAGTTTGGGGACCTCGTGGCTTCTCAAAGCTCCACAGTTGTGTCATACCCACTTAGGGGAAGACAGACACACAGATGAAAGTGATTTCAGCTCTGAAAAGTCATTTGAAATATCTACAGACCTGAACTGCACTGTTAACACTGGAGCAGTGAGAACAAGGATTAAGTTGAGCATCAGCCTTGCAGGGTACAGAGACCGGAGCAGGGGCTCTCCAGGGCTCTCTGAGCCGACTGTGAAGGATCTTCCAACAGTGGAGAGCAAATATTGAAACACTTTCATTATTTCATCTTTCAGCTGCCAGGAAGACTGAACCTGAGGCCACACAGATGTGAAAGACACGGCTGGATCCTGTGGCATTGAGATGGAATGACCCTTTCCGTTCCTTCCACAAGGCCAAGAGAGAGTGGCCCACAAAAAGCAAAAGGGAACTTGACTGCAACCCACTAATTAAAGACTTTTTGGAAATGGGAGCAGCGCACCCAGAACCACCAGCTCCAGGTAGGCAGTTCCAAAGAGATTTCCCCCCAGCCATCCTTTAAAAATAGACTTTTCTTCCATTTTTACTGGCTCTTGGTCAGATCTGGGAGATACTCACAGAATAGCTCCTGAATTGTGCAAGAATCACATTGTGATTCTTCCCACTTGTAAATTACTTCACTGTGGGAAAGACCAAACGTCTGGACCAACTATGAGAGGTCAAAATTTGTCACAGAGAATTTCCTACTTTAATTGTTAAACTTGACACTGGGAAGACAAGCTGTTACCCTGGTTCTGTGTATCCCACATCATGAATCCATGGATTTGGTGGAAGAGATTTCACTGCTGATAGGAGATACGGCCTGAAAATATAATCAATCTCCCTTTTCTCCTCAAGTGGCAAAGTAACAGTTACTGTGGGTCAAAGAAAGCACAGCACCAATGAAACATGGGGGTAGGACTGCAAAGGGCTGTGGGGGACAATGCTTTTCTTTATTTATTTCTTTCCAACTGTAGCACCTCATTGTCACTCATAATTGGGTATTTTACACTTAGTGCCAATATACAGCACCAGAAAGTGTAGAAGCAGGGTTTCATTCCAAGCCATTTTGTTGACTTGGCAAGAATTTTCTGTTAAAACAGAAATTAACTTAATAAAAATTGAATCATAGATGAAACCCGTGGTACAATTAGAACACGGTAAAACCGATGGGTTTGCCTTTACAAAAGGCAATGAAATTCCAGTGTGCCCTGACCCTGAGCTGTGATGGCTGTGATGCCCCTGAGCTGTGATGGCTGTGATGCCCCTGAGCTGTGGGGGTTGTGGTGTCCCTGAGCTGTGGGGGTTGTGGTGTCCCTGAGCTGTGGGGGCTGTGATGGCTGTGATGCCCCTGAGTTGTGAGGGCTGTGGTGTCCGTGATGCCCCTGAGCTGTGGTGGCTGTGGTGTCCCTGAGCTGTGGTGGTTGTGATGCCCCTGAGCTGTGGGGACTGTGGTGTCCCCCATCCCAGTGCTGCTCTCACCGTCCAGGTCGCTCTCGAAGGTCTCTGCTGACACCCAGTCGGTGGCAGGGCCGGTGCCGTTCACGGTCATGGCAGCCACTCGGAAGCTGTACTCGGTGCCTCGCTCCAGCCCTGGTACAGGGACAATCCCAGGGATCAGCACGGGAATTCCCACCACAGGCAGCAATCCCAGACCCGACTGACACACTGGGATAACCTGATGGAAACAAACCTTCCACCCCCCACTACCACCGCAGCATCCCGAGGTCAGGGCTGGGAGCAGCCCCTCACCCTCAGCCAGGGGACACCAGGGAGGGGACACCCGGGGCTGGGATATGGCCCACTGTTCCACAGGCTGCTGGAAGGGACTCTGAGGTGCTGTGTGCAGCCAGCTATAACTCACAGCTCCTAATTAGATTTAATTACTAATAACATCCACAACTAAACCTAGGGGTGGCACAGAAGCAGCAGGTGAGCAAACTCACCTGCAGCCCACGCGACCTCAGAACCCACCAACACCCGTCTGGGACGTGACTCAGTTTGTCTCCCAAGGCAAGACCCTCCAGAATCATCCCTCTGAGCCCTCTAAAAGCCCCTACCAAGCCCCCCTTGCCAAGCCCTGCTCACCCTCGATGAGCTGGGACAGCTGGGTGCCCCCGACGCTCTCGGTGACGTCGCTCTTGCGCGAAACCTTCCGGTAGCGGATTTTGTAGCCGGTGATTTGCCCGCTGTGGGTCCCTGCGGGAGGGGGCTGCCACTGCAGCAGGATGCTCTGGGGAAGGCAGCACAGCAAGGCATTGGGAAAGAAGATTTTAGGAAAGCCTCTTAAAAAATGTCCCCATTCACACTGACCAAGTGTTTAATTTTCTCTTCTGAAGTGTCCAGGACAATACAAATGTGTGTTGGTGAGTGCACACACTGTAAACAACAGTTAGTCAGCAGGAATTCAAGCTCTGGTCCTTCAAGCTTTTGTGCCTGATTAAATCCCTTTTATCTGCTGTACTGTCACTGTCTTATTGCATCCCATGTCCAGTCCACCACTGGATTGGAGCTCCCAGCCCTTCAAGCCCCACACTCAGATATTCTCCTGCTGGGCAGCTCACACACAAATTGTTCAAAAGCAGCATGGGAGAGAAAAACAGACCCATAGCAGCTCTAAAATGTGGTCAATCTAAGACCCACCAGCCTTAATTTACCCATTACCAAAAGGAGATTCGCCACATCTTACCTTGGAATTCCGCACCTCCAGCGTCAGATTCTGTGGTGGAGCACTGGGGACTAGAAACATCAAAGGAATTACAATTCCAAAATTTTCAAATATGGTATTTCCATACCCAACCACTCTCTGCTCTCATTCATTATGGAAGTACAAACCCTTCTGGTTTAAGACACTTTATAAAGAACCAAATCCTCCCAGCGGTACTTTCTGACACACAGTGACTGGCTGGGGAGGGTTCTGTGTTTTCATCACAAAGGACTCTTTATGCGAGTCCTTACTTATCACAGCTATCTAAATAAAAATGTTTGATATTTAAAGGTACATCTCACAAACTCTCAGAGATGAGATCCCATTCAGTCCTTTCCCAAAGCAAACCTTTAATTAACACATTGCTTGATTGGAGGAACCCACATTTAGAATTCTGGCCGTGGTTTTTGTTATCGTGATTTTCTGTAACAGGAAAAGCTCAGTCACCACCTCCCTGTGACGCTGAGGGGGGGAAGGACATGAAATAAAGCCAAACTTTCCTTGCTGGTTGTTTGATGCAGTTGGTGCCTATTTTCAGAACAACCTCCAAGTCATGGGTTGTACAAAGAGTGGTCAATTATTAATGCCCATATTGCCAACTTGGTGAGAGACAATCAGCAGGACACCAGAAAGGATACGAGCATGTGAATGTAATCATAAAAATGTATCTCCACACATGCACGGTGCAGTTTGTCACAGGATGGTTTGGGTTGGAAGGGACCTTCCAGCCCATCTAGTCCCACCCCCTGCCATTGGCAGGGACACCTCCCACTAACCCAGGCTGCTCCAAGTCCCATCCAACCTGGCCTTGGACACTTCCAGGGATGGGGCAGCCACAGCTTCTCTGGGCAAACTGTGCCAGGGCCTCTCCACCCTGACAGGGAAGAATTCCCTCCCAGCATCTCATGTCAAACACTCCCACAGGAAAAGCACTGCCTGGTGTTGCACAGGACACAGAAACCAGGCAGGCAGGAGCACCAGGACGCACTCAGGGCTCAGAGACTGGGAGAGAAACGCCTTGGCTGGGCTGTGATGCAGAGATTACATTTCCAGCTGTAATCCCTGATCAGGAATTCCATGAGAAGCAAAGCAATCCTCACAAGCAGCACATAAACCTTGGTTTGAATGGTAATACCTGCAGAGCCATCCCTGCAACAAGGCACCGGAACAGATTAGGAGCAAAAACCTACATCAAAATGCAGATGTTGTTAAATCACGGCTAAAGGAAGCTTAGGGAGAAATCCCTGCAGGGAACAAGGAGATTGCTCATGGACACTGCAATAAGAAAACACAGGAAGAAAACGTGCATCATTTCCTCAAAGATTTGGGAGCTTGCAGGGGGAGAGCAGCGCGGTTAAGTAGCAGGTTATGAGATTGAAAGCAGCAAGATGACATCCTTCAGAGAGCTTTAGGAAATAAATATCTGTAGCTTAAATGTGAAAACATAAGATTGAGAAGAAAGAACTTCAGGAAAACGTGAAAATGACATTATCTCTAATAATGAATTCTTCAAACAAAGGAGCTGGAAGCCCTTTAGAGAAATCAGTTAGCAAATGGTCAGGGTAGGAGAGAAAAAGACAAAGATAAGGCCACACAACTCCCTTTGCATTTGCAGTGTGGGAAAGGGAAAGGAGAGGTTTCCATGATGTCCTTACAAGAGACTCACAGGATCTCTCCAACTGAAATGTCAATATAAGGGATTCCGGAAGAGTTGGACGTGAGGAACAGCAGCCTCTTGCCAGGGTGAGGTGCAATCCATCCAGGATTTCTCAAGGAACTTGGGAATTAAACAGCTGCATGACTTATGTACCTCTCCCAAGTCACCTCGATACTGGGAGATGGTAAATGTGATGCCAGTACTACAGTGGGATCCACTCCAGCTCCCAGAGTGTCAGAAAACTCTATGAGGCAAATAAACTGAAGCAACAATAAAGCATGACATTTAGAGGGAGTAGGAGTAATAAGAGGAGTAATAGCATGTATTTCTCACTTCTCCAAGGGAAATCCCACATCACAAACCTGCTGGAGCTCTCGAGGAATGAGGCAATGAGGGGATGGCACAGAAGTGCTCACCAGAGTGAAAAGCTGCTCAAAATAAGGGCAGGAGCAGGCTGGAAGGGATGTGGTGGGAGATGAGCTGTGGAGCTCCCTGCTCTGATCTGATGGTGAAGAACTGCAGAAAGACCTTGGAATGTTTCCACCTCAGTGCTCAGAAGCAGCCAAAGCCAGTCAAATGCAAGTAATGCCTCGCTTGAGTCTTTGATACCATTACAGTCCTGTCTACCTCCGTATTTAAAAGCACATAGGAGCAAAAAAACCCTGGAGAAAGGTTCAGAAAAGGGCTCTGAAGGTGGAAACAGCTTCCACAAGAGAAGGGGGTAACCACTGCTGTGACTTGGGAATCTGGAAAACGGGTAAATGAGGGAGAACATGGCAAAGGTCCACGGAGGGAGGAGTGGGACAGAGCGGGCTGTGGGCACTGGTTGCTCCCCCGACTCAGGCAACGAGTCACACTAACACAGAGCAGGGGCAGAACGGACGAGAAGCGGGGACTGTCCAGAGGAAATTTATCTGTACAATCTTTGTCCACTTGGTGTTGTGGATAAAAGGCTGGTGTGGGTTAAAGGAGATGCTGACAGGGTTTTATGGAAGAGAAACTCAATTAGCAGAACACAGAAACCACCAAAGAGTCAAGAAGTGCTCCAGAAACAAGCTCAGACCCAGGCAAAATTTGGGACAATACGTCTCTCTGCTCCTCTGTTCTACTTCTGGTCACTCCTGAAGAGATGATTCCAGGCTCCACTCACTTTCCATATGGCTGTGCTTATATATAAAAATTACGAGTTAACAATAACTCTGATCGTTCTGCAGTTGCTCGTGTGTCTCTATTTGCTCACATTACCTCTTGATTTGCCTTATAAAAAATCCTGGCACCAGGTCCTGCTTTCACCATTATATGCAACAGATTCAATAATACTCCTGCTGGAGTGCAAACAAAGACATGCAATATTTCCCCACAGGAAAACAACTGAAATGAAAACACTCCAAAAAACAAAAGTTTGCTGATATATGAAAATGTTGGAGAACCTAAAAAATAATTTGGAGCTGTTGCACAAATTTATTTGTGTTTTTGTCTGCTCTCAATACTTCGTAGACTGAGCAGTCCATGAAAAAACCTGCAGATGCTGCAACGAAGGACACCATTGTTCCACAATCACAATCCCAGATACTTCTGCAGGTGCAGTAATTTTCCTTCACCCGGTTTGAAAGGCCCCTGGGGAATTTTGACCAAGAACAGGCACACGCAACAACAACAACACTACTAATAAAACAGGGCAACAAGGAACAAAACCCATAAAAGTCTGGTTAAAAATTCACTGGAAGAAAATTGCCGGATAATTCCTGCACAGTTGACATGGAATAAGGAGCTTTACCGTCTGAGAGGGTGCGGACGACGACGTCGTGGGTGGAGACGCCGGGGCCGTGCTTGTTGTAGGCGACCACCCGAAAGGTGTACTCGGTGAACTTCTTCAGCCCAGTGACCGTGTGGGACAGCCCTGCCACATCCACGTCCTGCCCAGAGTAAACACACACCCCGTCAGGCCCACACCGGGGCTGCAACCACTACCAGTGCCTGAAGAATCCCCGTATAACACCCTGGAACCCTCCGAGCAGCACACGCGGATTAAACCTGCATTAGAAACCCCCAGCATTTGTGAAGATGCCCAAGTGTGAGTTTACAAGAGAGAATTCTCCCTGTTCTGTTTAAATCCTGGACACTGGCTCCGTGCGTGGAAAGGGAGCTGGAAACTTGCCTGTTAGCAAAAAAATTACGGCTATACCTGGAATAACGGGATGCAGAAACAGAAAAGGCATCAAGGCCTGTTTTAAACTGATGTAAAAAAATACTTAAAGGCCAAGGAAAATACATTTTACCCTTTGCTTTTTAAAGCTGGAATCATACTGATATGCAATGGGATGGGAATGGGGCTGTGATGAGTGGGATTAATCCTCGCTATTCTCAGGTGGCAGCCTGAACTTCTACAGAACACACTGGAGGTTTCGGTGGAATCATCAGAAAATTTAATCCATCAGATGCTCAGCAGCATCAAAATATCAATCACTGGATCCAAGAAGTCAAGAAGTAAGAACAGTTGAGATTAAGGATCATGCTAAAATAAGTAGTTTACCTAATTTACTAAAAACCAGCCTATAAAAGTGTGCAAGCATCTTCTCTATCATCTGGACCAGAACTGCTAAATGATGACATGCCTGTAATTTGCCTTCTCCTCCCGTGGTATGATGGAATTCCCCAAAAACTACTTGATGTTGATGAACCCACCAAAATAAGGCATCACCAAAAAAATTATAATTCTAAGACATACACATTTCATGCTGGAATTTTAAACTTAAACATTTCCGTATTTCAGTCTGTCAGAAAACCAAACCCTTCCCAAGGTGTTTCCAGGAACTCAAGGTACCCCCACCACACAGGCTGTTAGGGGTGGTGCCTCTGTACCTGCTCGGTGTCCTGCCCCTTCTCCATGTAGTAGAGTTTGTAGTTCTGGATGTCCCCGTTGCCCGAGAGCGGCGTCTCCCAGGTGACGGTGACGGAGGTGGGGGAGCTGGAATACGCACGGATGTTGGGAGCCGGGCCGGGCAGCTGGACTGGAACACAAATGTGGAACTCTGCTAGTTCTGGAGCCTGGTCAGGAATGGTTATTGCAGTGACAGCCTCACTGTTCATCACCCCTGGGGAAAAGGTGGGTGTTTTTCCCCATTTCAACACTACCCACGGAAAGGTGGGACCAAGTGTCTGAAGGAGATCCTGCTCCCTGGGTCACATTCCTTTTGTCTGGAATGATCCTAACAAGTGACAGACTTGGCATTTGCCTGAAGTTTTCCCTTCTTCCTCTTTCAGCCACAGAATATTCTGAGTTGGAAGGGTCCCACAAGGATCATCAAGTACAACTCTTAGGTGAATGGCCCATCCAGGACCGTGACCTTGGTGTCACCAGCACCATGTTCCAACCAACTGAGCTAAGTTAATGACAGTTTAAAAGTATTACTTTTATAACAGTTTGGAGAATTTAACAAGGAATGCCTCATCAGTTCCTCTTGATCGTGGCAATAAATCCTACAAACCCACCAGCCTGGAAAATCTTTGGAAACTGTGGTCTGCAAGTGCAACTTTTAAAAGCATCAACTTCTTCTGGGAAAGGTCATCGATGGGGAAAACAAAAATATTAAATCAAAATTGACCCCAAAGTGAGGAAAACTCCAACCATTCCAGCTTACCCTCGGGCTGCGTTGCCACCTTGAGCGGAGCCGAGCTCTCCCCGGGGCCGTGCCTGTTCTGAGCCACAACTCGGAACACGTAAACTGTCTCCGGCATCAGGTTTTGGATCATCACTTGTGTCTCTCCGGGACGACTCGTGTTTTCAACGCGTTCCCTTTAGGAAGCAGATGGTTTAGGCAGAGAGACAAGCACTGATCAGTAAGAGGGGTTTGGAGGGGGAAGGAAGGAGTCACTGTGTCCCGTTTGGACGTATCCCACGTGTTGGTGATGTGCTGGCTTACACTGTGCTCTCTGCACAACACCACAGCAACGTGCCAAATTCCCTGCTGACAAACTGCTTCGAATTCTGCAACTCCTCTTTGTAAAAAAAACCCCAACAACAAATGCAGTGAAGTAACAGAATAAATTACACTCGACAGCACCGAACTCTCAGCAGTTCTCTGCTATTCCCATAACAGCAAGTGATAATTCACGGTGACAGTTTATCCTGCAACTCTGAAGCCAAAAGAAAAGCTATTTAAGCAGCAAAGTCTGGTGAGATTTGGGGCATTTCTGTTAATACCATGGGGCTGCTTTTTGTGTGTTCTTCAAAGGAGCTGTTTTAACGTGTTCTTGTTCCTCCAAACTTCACTGGGTCAGGATTTGTTCAGGACACCCAGGGCACGGCCGTGACACCCACGCTGGATCCACACAAGGAGTGGGAAGCAACAGGAGGCAACCTCTCCTTCAGTGTGACCTGAGAGTGCCTCACACTCGTGCTGTGCACGTGGAAGTGGCCTCTACTGGACCTGAGTGGAGACCCCAACCTCCAGCAGCAGCAGGGAGGCAGACCAGGCTACCAGCCCCCCGTCGGAAGGAATGCACTTTGCATGGGAAGGGGCATCTCTGTCAGGCCAACATTTTGCACACTGGAAGCCACAATCCAGCTGGGAGAACACATGTTGTGTATGGAGGCACCTGGAAGGGTCACTGCTTGGGCTCACTGACCCTCCATCGCCCCCCGGACTCCCGGAGCCCAACCCTTCCCCCTGCGGAAGCTCCGTCTCGCCCGAATGTAGCCCAGGAAACTCCATCAGTTCTTATCAGGATGGAGGGGGAGATTAGAGCATTAACTATTAACTAATGACAGCCTTTACTTCCAAGACAGGCTGCTGGCACCTGAACTGGTTGGAGCCGCGTTTCGACAACAATGGCTCCACACGCCCGTCCTTCCCTGGAAAGGAGCTCCTGCTCCCTGAGAATGGGAACAGCAGTGCTACAAAAGGAGAAATCAGAAACTTGCCACTGAGAAAATCAGGGGGAACGTGCCTGCTTGGAATGCAATCCTTCCCCTTTGGCCTGCCAGGCTCTGTTTGGCTCTGCAGGGACAGTGACTCTCGTCCCATTGTCACCTGCCAATAAAGCACTTCTGATGCAGAAACCTCGGAAGAATCATTCCCATGTCTCCCCTTCCCGCCTCCCAGCCATCCTGCTGCAGTTTCTGTCACAAGAAATATGATGCCAAAATCCCCATTTTTAATGGAATTCTTCTTACATCAGCCGGTGTGGTTGATTTAGTGTAATTTGGCTGAAAACACTTTGAAATCCCTGTTGATTTCTGCATTATTACACTGCATCTATAGAGAGGGAAACAATGCACTCACTGTAACTAAACATCTATTTACACCCATTTTCTAGAATGTTCCCCTCCATGAAGCTGAGCTAAAATGGCACTGCACCAACAGCCGAATTTATTTCAGATTTTTATTCATTTTCATCACTAATTTTTCCACTCCTAGCAAAACGTTTTCCTGAAAGCACATTCCCCAATGGAGTTTCCTTTAAGACGAGCCTTAGCTACAAGGATGGGATCTGAAAGCCCAGACTAAGTGCCAATGGATCCACAGCTGTGAAATAACATCCGGCTCCCATTGACATGCAAAATATTGCATTTACTGCCTCAAGGGTAAATGCACTCCCTGATTTCATCTGGGGAAAAAAAGATAATCAGCAAATCAAGGTTATTATTTAAAATTAGAAGAAAAAAAAATAATCAGAATTATTTTACTGGAAAGACAACATTTACCAAAAATAAACAGACACGTCAAAGTATTGCAATTTTCAGTAATAACTAGAAATGTGCCTTTACAACATTATGGTAAAATTATGGTGAGAATAATCTAATTAAGTGCTCCTTTATGGCCTTTCCTGTGGAGCCTGGAGCACCTTTCCCGAGTGCTGCTGTACCTGATGGGATAACAGGTACAGGGAGATGGGCTCCACGAGTACCTGCATTACCCTGAAGATCCTTACGACTGTTCTATGAGTCCAGTTTAATCCCAGCTAAAGAGCCCTGTAAACTCCAGTTAAGGTTTACAGCAGCTCTCAAGCACCTCAGGGGAGAGCCATCAGTTCAACCCCCCAAACATGGGTTTGTCTGCAAATGCCAAGTTTAAAGCTGCACTTCCTCACAAAAAACAACGTTCAGGGAATTATTAAAGAGTGGATATTGCCTGTGCCAGCCCTGTCAGCTGTGGAGCCTGGCAGGGAGCTCCAGAGACGTTCTGACAGTGTGATTACACACAATTAAACCCCATTTTCTGTGTCTGAAGCACACTATGGTGAACCATGAATTCAACAGTATTTGAGTGTCTCACACGTGTAATTTACCCTCTTGTACCAGCCACGTGCTAGTTATTTCTTTTATTTTTGTCCAAATCTTGAAGTCTAGAATTCTTCTGCCTGAGTGCTTGGCTAAAGTTTCACAGAACTAAAACTCCCTGCAGCACATTTCAATTTTCACACCCTTTCCAGGAGAACTGCCTGCAGGCTGGAATAAATCCCTAACATGAGGATGAAAGAACTCTGTAACTGTGTCAGACAGTAATCTCACCAGATTACGTGGGGTCCTCCAGAGGTGTGACAGTAAAGCCATGAGACATCACTTCACTCCCACATCACTGCCTCAGCAGGAGCCTCTCAGATGTCACCGAGCCAAGATGGGACAAGGCACCGGCTGGTGATGTTTGTGCAGCCAGAGAAGCAGGAACATGTCACCTCCACAGCCATTTCCACACCCTGAAATGCTCCTACTGGAATCATGGAATGGTCTGGGTTGGAAGGGACCTTAAAGCCCATCTTGTTCCACCCCCTGCCATGGGCAGGGACACCTTCCACTAGCCCAGGTTGCTCCAACCTGGCCTTGAACAACTGGGATATTACCAAAGTAAGGAAGTAGTAAAAAACCAACAACTGGGAGGCAAAAAAAATGTTACTAATTGGCTTAATTAACTGCCACGAGCCTGGATTGGATGTCTATCCACAGAATTAAGGAAGAGTAGAAATTCCCCACTAGTAGCAGCGTGTTTTCTGTTCTCTTCCAATGACTTCGTTAACTTTGAGTCCCATGCTCTCCTCAGTAAGGAGACAGATAACTTTCCCTTGGGTAATTAATCTGATAAGCTAATTTGCAGTTAATTAAGCACTGCTCCAAATGATTGTTAGCTCCAACTTCCTCAAACTTATCACAACCATTTGAAACTGTTAATGCTGAGCAGCAGATCCCATCAGGAAGGGAAAGGGGTAGATCGGTATTATCCACTGGGATAGTATGTCAAAAGCCTACGATTGGGAGTAATTCATCTAATTTTTATTTACAGGGATCATTAGGAAGGAATCAACATTTAACCAACACCTACTATGGCATTTAGCCAACACCTACCACACGTTTGTCCCTGGAATCAGAGCGAATTCACAGACCAGCACGTGGTTTCCGGAGGATGCTCCTGTGCCCGCTGAGGTGGCACCGACAGCAGTGTCAGTGCTCCTGACGAGCTGTGACAGCCTCTGCTGCTCTCACCTTCTAACAGGCTGCTAAAAGCAGGTAGCAACTGTTTGCAGTCAATCAAACCGTGCCTGTACAAATTCCTACGTGCAGCCCCAAAGCCAATAAAACTCAGGGAGCAGGAGGGAGGGGAACACAACCCCTCACACCGCACACGGACATGTCGGGTTACAGCGTTCCCAAGCAAAGCCAGCGTGAAGAAGAGTCTTTACCTGTTGATCCCTTCCTTGGTGTAGAAGATGGAGTAGGTGAGGTTGTCCCCCTGAGGGTCTGACACTGGTGGCCTCCAGGTGAGCCTGATGAAGCGGGTGGACACGAGGGTGGCCACGACGTCCCGCGGGGCCGAGGGCAGGGGTCCTGCTGTGGCTGGTGCTAGATGGTCATTAGTGGCACTGGTCAGTGAAGTGGGAGGCAATGTTGGGATGGCAACATCTTGTCATGTGCAAACATTGGGGAACATGAAGGGCAAACATCACCACGGTTTAAAAAAAAAAGAGAACAGGGGAAAAAAAAAACACAAAAGAAATAAACAAAACCACGATGGGAAACAAAAGAAAATGAACACACAAAAAAGGCCATTAAACTGAAGGCTGACATGCAGGCAGAGGTAACTACTGACCACTAATGGGGTATTACAGGACGTCACTTGGAGCAAGCAGACCAGATCTCCATTGTAATGAAGTGGCAGGGGAGAGGGAAGGGTGAAACTGGGGATAAAATCCGACCTCAGGAGAGGACGTACCAGCAGCAAACAACACTGTCATGGCTTTGTAAACCACATGTAATACCACACCCTTAACAACAAAAACCCAGCTCGTATTAATTATTCAAACATACACCCAGCCCCAGTTTTGCACATTAGCTCATTAACATGCAGGATTCATTTATACTCTTCTCAATCATAAAAGCACGACAGACTGACACACAAAATTGCTTTAAGTGCAAACTCATTCAGGTTGTGCAATTAAACCCTGCAGTCATTTCACATGTAGCTGCTTTCTGGAGGGGGGGGGGTTGTGCCCCTGCCCAGAGTGTGACAATCCCAGGGCACTGCACCCACAGCCCTCTTCCCTCCCTTTCACCAAGGGCGCTGCTTTCCTGCCACCGACGCTCTCCCTCCCTCCCTCCCTCCCTCCTTCCCTCCCTCCCATAACACCTCTTGCATCCTTTACAGCAACTCTAACAACATTAACAGCTCTGCCTTCGGATTATTCCCACACCCTCCAAACTTCTCAGCCTAAATCACGTCGTGTTCCTGTGCTGCTACTCCAAGCCAGGATAAATCCCAGGGATTACAGCATTAAAAGGTTGGGAGTTGACAGAGCAAGCTGCACCGAACCAAGAGCTGCTCTCCAAATCCTATTAAAGCAATCCATCCCAGCAAATCTAACACTGATACTCTGAGCAGCTGGACCCCAATTACCACCAAGTATTACAAGCAGCACAATTAGTAACAAAACCCCAAAGCTCAGGATGCCCTGAGTTTTTATGGATTTTTAACTATTTATCAAGCTTAAGCCACCTGATGACTTTTTTCCACATGGGAATCCACGCTGCCAAATACATCTATTCACTTATTAATTATGGGAACTAACTAAAATGGCTCTGGTTTTCCCCAGAAAGAAGTTCAGGACTAGCAGAGCTGTTGCTGAGAGCTGCAGCATCTCCACCAGAACATGTGGACTTGTGTCTTGATACACAAGGAGAAAACTTCACAAACAACCCGACTAAAGGAGAAAACGTTGTCTGAACAACCCAACCTTCGGGCAGACACAATGACATGTCTTCCATCAACAGAAGCCTGATTTTAAATTCTCAAAAACCCCTTTTCAAACCAAGCATCAGCTCACATACAGGTCTGGAATTGGTGGGACTCTCATTTTTCCTCTTCTATTTCTCAGGCAACTCCCGACAACAACGTAAGACCAAACCCTTGGCTTTTATCAGATTTGCACCACATGACATCAGTCCACAGGCAGAGCTGAGACAGAGCCCAGAGCCAGGAACACACAGATTTTGGTATTTAAAATCCAGATCACACAAAGACACACTCAAGAGTATCTTCTTAATTATCCTTCCCACACTCTAATAGCTGAAGATCCCAATTAAGTATTCTCCAGCAGCCCTTCCTGATCAATAGACACCATTAATTTCACATTCATTGCAAAATCTATTTTTATCTAACCCCCCCTATTTTTATGTTCCATAATCAGATTTCTCGCAGAAATGCACCACATTTAGCTCCTTTGGACTTGGACAGAGCCCCATTCCCCCAGGATTCCCCTTGCAGATCACTCAGTAGAACCCTGAGTGAGGGCCAAGGAACCTTCCAACAACCATCCCTGCTCCTGAACAACAGTTCCAGTGCTAATCCAGGACCACATCTGTGGTCCTGGTTACATCAGCCAGGCTCCTCCTGTGTTTAAATCTCAGCCCATGTTAATATTCCCTTGGACTGGAGACCTCCTCCCTGCACCAACCATCACTCCTTCCACACTGTTTCCACAGAGGAACTCTGCAGAACCCTCCTGGTCCCCATTGTTTTTCCACACCTTTCCCATTGTCCTGCTTGACTGACTTCCACTTCACTTCAAATTCCAAATTTCTGTTCACTTTATACTTTGATTGACTACATTTCCCCCTCAGACAGCTTTAATTTCCCACCCTTCTATTAACTAATTACATTCATAATGTAATTTAAACCGATGAAAGAGTCTGAGGAATGATCTGTAGGGAAGCTGTTCTGTTATAAAGACAAGCTTGTGTTTTCCAGCCCCACACCCTCTGCAGCACCATCTCCTGATCCATCCAGGTGAGATCTTTGATGGCCTCACGCATTTATTACCAATACTTCACATACAAAGCCCCTCTGCTTTTTACTAAGATACTCCAGCACAACGAATTCTTAAAGCCACCACTTCAGTTGCTCGTTTTGACTCCAGGAGGCTGCAGGAGATGCATTTCTACTGCGTGGACTTAAAAAGAACAAACCCCCAGAGAACACCATCAGACAGTTCCTCAGGACATCCCTGGCTTTTCAGAGCTTGACATGCCAACCACGTCATCTTCCACCTTACATTCACACTTTGTTTTCTCTTACCTGTCTTGGCAATATTGTCAGGTAATCTGCTTCAAATTACATGTTTTTCATGCAAAATGTGCATCTTACCCATCTTTAAGAATCATTCCATTTGGTTACAGTGGAGTATTTTTTAAATTCATCTGCTAATCTACAAGCCATCCCACACACTCGTGTATTTGCCTTCCCCTGTAATGAAATGGATCCATCTTTTACTTAAAGATGTGCACGCAGTGCTGAAGAACCTGCAGGCATCGAGATGATGAGTCTGGGAGAGATGCCAAGATCTCCCAGCTCAACAGACACCCAGAGTTACCCTCGTGCAAGGCTCAAACCCAGCAACGTTCCCTCCGACACCATTGCAGGGAGAACAGGCACAGACCACAAAAACCTGACAGCTGAAAAAGGAACTGTGAACCAAACACAGCACAAAAGGACCTGCAAACCCAGCTGGGAGGGGGGCAGTGACAGAGGGAACTCCCCCAAATGCTGCAGGTAAATACCAGCTTGGTGGCAATTTGGTGCTGCTGATAATTCTGGGACTTAAATCAGAAGACTGGGTTGTTTCCTTCCTTTTTTCCCTGTTCTTGCTCAGAATGCCTGGAGTGCCATCACTAACTGATTTGTGCCCAGCCATGTGAGCAGAGTGCAGAGCTGTGTTAATGAGTAATTACACACAATTAGCTGTAACGCCAATAAGGAGCAGCTTTATTACCCTGAGCTTCCCAGCTCGGTGGAACAAGGAACGTGCAACACAAGTCTCCTCTTTCTAATGGATCTTTCAGCACTTTTATAAAAAGTAACTCTGGAATATTCTTTGCAGAACTATTCCTACACATTTTCACATGAATCTCAATTTTAAAAAAAGCATGTTCAGCAAGTGATATGTGCTCTGCACAGTAATTTATCTCCTGCTGTGCAGTAACTGGGACCAGAAGCATGTCAGAATTCCTGAAGAATTCCTGAAACTACAGGTAGTGGAGTTCCACTGCTGCACCCCCCCCCACTGCAGGGCAGAGCAATTCCCACTGCAGGGCAGAGCAATCCCCCAGAGGCAGCAGAAAAATGGGAACGAGGATTTTTCAACACCATATTTCCAGCCAAGACAACCCCCGCAAGAATCCCAGGGATTCAAGGTAAGAGAACATTCCTACTGCTAATCATGAAGTCCCCTCTGCCAAGCTGCTCTTTCCAGGGCTCCTTCTGAGCAGACATCAACTATTGCAACTATTTTATCAAAGTATTTTGCAGGGTGTGCAAACACCCACAAGGATTTGGACTCAAGCAGATGAGATTAGAGCTGGCCACAGTTGTAGGATTGATCCCCATAAGGGCCCTTCATGTATGAGCTAGACTCGATGATCCTTGTGGGTCCCTTCCAAGTCGGAATATTCCATGATTCTGAAACAAATACCATCAATAACTTCTTAATTGAATCTCTCATTGGCAAAGGCATAAGGTTTTAATGCCACCAGCACTGGGCTGGTGATGTGGAAGAGGCAAAGGTGTGGATCACTTGGATGCACTGGTGTGGTCCAGGCTTTTCATCTTACAGGAAAAATGCTCCCACGGTGCTCCCAGGGTAGTTTACCACAGTGGGATAACAATCAGCTGGAGTGTGCCTGGGGTGCTGCTCCATCATTATCACCTCAGGATGCTGATGGGACCTCTGCCCAATGTGCCCCACCTGAACACTGCTTACTGGAATGCCCTAGTTTTTAGTTAATTATCAGAAATATTTTCCACGTTGTCCAGCCCCTCCGGTTTAGATTTCCTCTTTCCTGTGGTACGTTATTGGCACAGTCGGGGCTTCCTCCTGTTTGGCAGCAACATCCCAGTCATACCCCTGGACACACCACACAAAGGGACAGGGATGTTATCTGTCACCTGCCCCGGCAGTGACAGTCACTTATCTGAGTGACTCGGGACAGTCCAGCTCCCCTGGTACCTCACAGGGCACTGCCACCACCCACCTCGGGAAGGGGGTATTGGAATGCAGGAATCGGGATGCACAAGCACTCGAAGAACTGGTTAGTGACCATATTTAGGCTATTCCTGGCCATATTCAAGCGTTTGCAAAGCCCTGGTTGCAGCCCCCATCCAAGGAGAGTGTCAGGGATTTGGGAACTGTGGCAGCAGGAGAGGCACCAGAGGGTGATCCAGGTGTGTGTTGTGGGAGCCCAGCACTGATATCACAGAATCCCAGAATATGCTGAGTTGGAAGGGCCCCACAAGGATCATGGAGTCCAACCCTCAGTCCATCCCCAAGCAGCTCTTACCCTGACAGGGACCT